TTTTTTTTTTTGAAATTTTCAAAATTAATAAATTATCTCTTTTTAAATAGATATGCATTCCATCTTTTATTGATGTCCATATTTAAATTTTGTTTACTTTTTTTGTGGGTATTGTTTTGATTCGATTTTAATATCCTTTATTAGATAGCTAGAACTGTTAACAATGGTAAGTCAAATAAATTGTCAGATTATCTATTCTAAATTATTCCTATGAAGCATGTCAATTTTTATTTTCTTTCTTATATTCTTTATTTTTATTTTTATTTTTTACTTTCAAATCTCAATTTCTTAAGATGCTGGAAATATATATTCTTTTTCTATTTTAACATTTATTATATACAAATTAAAATATTTATGAATCTTTCTAAAAATTTGGAATCACTTTACTAAACTAAAAAAGAAAAATTCGAAGTACTCTTAAATAATCTCAAAATTTCTGAAAATACATGAAAACTATGGTCAATTAGAAATTTAGAATTGTAAGATAATTACAGAACATAAACGTAGCAAATAAATTATATGATTGTAGTATCTACATTGTTTTGAAATCAAATATTTCATTAGTAAGTTAAGTTTTCAAATATTTCTAGAACTTTTTTAATCTATGTATAAGTAATTACAATAAAAATAATATATCAATCCCTCACATTTTTATTTTGTTCTCAACAAATTAGACAATAAAATAGATACTTTTTAACTAAAGCCTTATTACATATCATGCTTTAAAAAAAATATCTATTGATAAGTTACTAATAATAATAACTAAATAAATATTAAACTCTTACGTTTGAATATTTCACATTTTTATTCAAAGCCTTTTACATCTCTGATGTTATGTGGAGCCTTCTTAATTTTCTTTGGAAATATTTTTAATTTTTTTTTTTTGAAAAATCCCGATTTTGGCTAATATATTTAAGTATAAAATTCAATTAACTAAATCAATCTCACATAATGAAACCTCTTTGGTTTGGTTGTTAATTAGATAGATTTACTTCCGAATTAAATCAATCACACACAATTTCTCCGGTTGCACGTTCTTATGCTAGACTTTTTTCGATTAATCAGTTACAGACGAGATTTTTAGCAAAGAAGTTGCTTTTTTTTTTTTTTTTTGGAGAATAAATTTGTTACGTGACAGGTGAGAAGTCTTCGACTGATAGGAAATTCAGTATTGTCAGTTTTCACATCTTTTTTGGATTGTTATTAAGGCCACAATAGCTGAATTATTTATTTTCATGTTTATTGCTACTAATTATTTAATATGTGTCATATTTATTTATGGGATTTGCATATTATTTATCTTTATCTGATATGCATAATGTTTATTTACGGAATGTCATGTCTAATATGCATGATGATAATCTATTAGTTGCTTATATTTCATAAGAATTAATTATGTCAATTAATTACTTATTATATTTGCATGGTAACTAATTATGAAAAATGCATACTAGGAAACCAATAATGAGATGTTTAAATATAAATAATTATATTTAAATAAAGTTAAAAAAGTTTTAAGCAATAAGTATGTTTGTGCATCGGACGGGATACACACTAATAATAATAATAATAGCAATAATAATAATATACTATTAATAATATTGAATTGTAATTATTATTGTATTAGGAAAATATCATGTAGGTAAATTTATTAGGTTTTATTTAATGCTTAGCTAGCAATTATATATATTTGAGCTTTTTCATCCACAATTGCAATTTCATAAGAATGAGATGACACTTCCAATTTCCATTCCAGGGTATAAATAATGACCATTGTTAAATGATATTTATCCTCCCACAAATAAATATTTTCTATAAAGACAATCATAATTTACATTTTTTTTTTTCGCAATAACTTCCTATATTTTAGTTCATACATTAAATAGATTGAATCCATATAATTTGTTGGTAATATATCAAATTTCATCGTAATTTTGTGATATGTGAATAGAATATATTTTAACTTCCTTAGTGCACCTATTTCAAATTGTGCATATTTAATTTATAAAATGAGATAGATGAAGATTATTATTAAGTAAATGTTAATGAAGATAAGGTAAAAATAAAAACATAAATGGTAATAGATATAAACTAGTCAAACAACTCAAGATTGTTTTGTTGATATTACAATACTATTTTAGGCAAAAGAAACTTTATCACGTCCAAATTCCCACGAGTCCTAGTGGCAAATTAAATCGTCGTGATTTTATGACAATGTGTTGGTGTAAATAAAAAAACTTTTACATCCTTATTAGTGTTTGTGCATTTGTCTTCAGTCTACGTTGAATTTTACTTGAATTTTTTTTTTTTTTTGAATTAGCATTAGATTGACTATCTTCAAACTTCCGAAATTTATGTGTTAAGATTTGTCGCAGTTTTTTTTCCCAACAATATTTGTATATGTATGATCCTAA